TGTAGGCTACAAAACAGCATGACATATGAACTTCAAAAGGAATAAATAAAAATATACGGTACTCTTAACTTTGGTTTTATTTACTCTTTAAACAGAACACTTCCAGGGGCCATGCGAAAGCACATCTAGTAAGTTTAGTAGATTGTATAAACAAAATTTTCGAGTTTGCGTCCAGTTTTAGAAAGATTGTTAAAGTACTATCGACATTTTATGCTAGGCCTATCTCACTGTAAGTTATCTTTGATCACAGCGACGGCGCCCAAGCAAACGCCGTAGACTGTTTATAGCCATATGTACCTATACTACGTTGATTACAAAACTTCTCGAAAAGTGGATTAGTGAACATTATTTAAGATTAACATAGCTACGAAATCTTAAGTATTAGGGTAAACAATAAATTTTTGTTAAAAACTTCATTAGTTAGCCCTCTCGCTGTCAAGATCACAACCTATCCGTATATTTACAGAGGATATTTTTTTATAAGAAAATAAATTACAATTCAGGCTGGAATCGTTTTCAACTGTGACACATAATATTAATAGTGAAGGCATGATTTGAGAACTTCGTGCAAAGCTGTACAAGGGCTATCTGCGCATGTCCGCTTTTAATTTTGAACTGATAGACTAAAGGGATAACTGCTAGTCCAATTCTTGAACTGTTTCGTCTGACCGAATAGTGGAGTTTGATTGTCATTCCTATAACACAGCTCCAAAGTGTGGAGTGCGCTTTTGCAATAACAGGTCGCGAACCATAAACCCTCGAATTTATAGCCCGGACAAGCTAACCATTAGGACAAGTCCGGCCCTCGTTCAAACACCTAACTACACATTAAGGTTTTTTTAGTTCAACAGTCGAATGCTCTGAAGATGGTAGAACATCTCGGAAAATAAAAGTCTTGTAAGATGTTTTCGTGGATGCAACTAAACTGTGGATAAGTGTGTATGTTTTGACTTTAGTTTCTGTTTAGTTCAATGATATTTTTGGTGGATCTTTTTCAAAAGAACACTTGTAATGGAAACTAGCTTTAGTTAGAAACTGATATATTGATTATTCAATACCACTGCTAGTAAACTTATTAATGTCCATGGTTTTACTTTTGTGTTTCATATCATCTTACAAACTTACATCTCTGTACAAATTCTTGTAACTTTTTTCCTGATTAATTCAAAACAATCCTATTAAGATTCTATGTTGGAATTCTATGCTTTGTCTGGATAATGAAATTAGACTTTCAAGGGGTAATTTTGAAACATTCTATGTTGCATTATTTAAAATAGTTTTTTTGATAAAGCTAGGCCACGACTTCATCAGTTATTTTAACAACTTTGTTTTTAGCTCTAAATTAAGGTTGATAGTTCCGTTAAAAAAATAAAAAACAAAATTTCGTAATTGTTATCAATAAGAAAATTACCCCACCAGCAGAGCTCTGGTATCTACATCAATTTTTTGTATGTTTATCCCCTCCCCCAATTAAATAAACAAATTTCATAATTGTCTGTTACTTCGTGATATCCAAATTAATTACTTATGGATTTTTGTTACAAAATTCCGCATACCACGTTCTGTAGATCCACGAGGATAAAAACCTGTTTCGAAAATGAGGTGGTATTATTGAGCTCATAATAATGTGTTTATTGAACTTTCACACACTAGGTGTCCAAGAGCTCTGTTGCCAAGTTAGTTTTATTTATTATGTGCAAAGTGTACTGAGAAAAGAAGAAGAATATATGTATATATATATATATATATATAGCTTTCATTACTGAGAAACACCTCTAACCCTAAAGTAATGAGATTATCCAGTTAACCTGAGCACGCGAAGCTGTAACGGGTCAAGATACTTAACCTTCTTTGGTGGTATTGAATGTCATCTGAATTATTATATATATATTTTTTTACATAATGGACTGAGGCGCTTAAGTTTTATAAATTCGTACGCATTTCGATTTGTGTGAGAAGATGAGTGGTCATTCTGTATACGGTCCAGTACCAGAGTAGCCTTCTAGCTCATTACAGTTCTGCCGTTTAAAACAATGCAGAAAGATGAGCCAACCTACTCCCTTAAAGGAAACTATAACAACAAAAAGTTAAAAACCAAAACTTTTAAAATATAATAAAATAATTCGGGCGAATCAACTCGTAATATACATAAATAACTACGAACAATGTATATATTATAGAAAAGAATAACAACTAGAGATCATTTAAGACTCTTGAATCTAAAAAAAAATGACAAAGGTAATTTGTAATCAATTACCTTATGTTTTTTTAATATTATTTATCATTTTTGATTCTGAATTAGAATTTATTAGTCATAAAAATGTAGTTGGTCCTGGGCTAAGGACTAAATAAAAAAATCGCACATTATTACAGTATGTTTTTTTTTTTCTTTTCGAAATAGTCTTTGTGTAGATGGTCACGTGGAGAAAAATGACGAAGTCCAAACACGAGTTACTTCTCGGAGACTCTCCATCTCAGTCGTCTTTCTTGTTCGTAAAATTTCTAGTGTTATTTATTGTATGTTTGAAGGTAAGTTATAGGAATTATTTCACAAACATTTAGCTCCAAATTGTTGTTTTTTTTTCGCTACGTTTTCCATTTTCTACCTGGAAGTCTCCCGAATAATTAAAAAATTTAACTTCAAATTTAGCTGGTTGTGAAAGGCTTAATGTGGACGTTATAACACTTGAAGTTTCAAAACTTTAAACTTCAGTATCATATCTTACATTAATGCAACAGTTAAG